TACGATTTAAGGTAAGAGCTGCTTTGGTCAGTGGTATGGACGGCCAAGGTGGCGTTCTTACGCAGGCGCGTGTTTATGTTCACACACAAGAGTATTATGTATTGGTGTATGCAAATATAGCCGACAGCACAGAAAGTTGCGGGTGTGCAATACAGGTATGCGCGTGACAAGAACAGACGTTTAGATAGACTGTATATTATTCGAGTAGATAGGATATTTACATATACACACACTCTAGGTAAGTTCTCAATCAAACTGAGCAACGCATACAGTTATTAGTATATTATTAAATAGGACATATTTATTTTGATTAAGCTATTATAGCAGAGACACGACATACATAAAACATACACTCTAGCTGGCACACCGCTGGTAGACATATATAGAATACCAATCATGCGTAGGCATGGCTTGTCGTAGCAAAACACTACGCGGTAATGCAAATAATATTAACATACACACAAGTATAAGGCGCTGTGCGTCACACATAGCATATTGCTACAAACAAATTGAAATCAATCAAACATTACAAGGCCGGCACTATCGCCCAGCGCGGAAGGTTCAGAGAAAGCCACCCATGAGAGGTGATCCCAGTGTAGAAGGTTCAGAGAAAGCCGCCTATGAGAGGTGATTCCCGTGTAGAAGGTTCAGAGAATTTTACCCAGGAGTGGATCGTGCGGTCTAGTTACACGAGTGTTGGTTGTGTGTGGCAAGTATATGTTTATGCTTAGAGTATAAACGAGAACCCTGTTGACTCTAACTCAGTGGTGAGCAACCCTGAGGACACGGCGCATTGAACTTCGCGTAGGCACTTTGAAGTCGGTGAGCAACCGCAGCCTTACTAGCGTGTTGCATGGCACCCAGTCGACAGAATAAACAGTATGTTAATTTAGATGCTGAGAGTACAGGCGAGCACCCTGTTGACTCTTACTCAGAGGTGAGCAACCTTGAGGACACGCCGCATTGAACTTTGCGCGAAAACTTGAGAGCCGGTATGCAATCCACTGCCTCAAGCGTGTTGCATAGTCGCCCAGAGTGGTGTTGAGTTGGATAACACTATTACGTAAAAGTCGGAAGGTGTTACGTTACTATGTAGGAGGCGGAAATTACGCAAGAGTCGGAACATATAAACACTATTACGTAACAAGTCGGAATGTGTAGCACTATTACGTAGGAGGCGGACCATGTATAACATTATTACGCAAGAGTCGGAACATGTAACGCTATTACGTAGGAGTCAGAACGCGTAATGCACTATAACGGAGTCACCGAATGCGCGCCCAACTCGAGTATGCTCATGAGGACAACACATCACACTCACACAGGCAATAACATATCAAGAGTTTACCACTTTATTTAAACACTAGACTATGATCGTCCAATACATATGGACGGATTTGTTAGGTACGGCATGTAGAGGCCACCTATACCCATCATTGACTGATGATACGGGCATTTATATGTTTCTTCAAACCTGTGATAATAGAAGGAAGAGGATAGTACACTGTTATTAGAAGCGAACAATTTTTGTTAAGGTTCATAAACGTTATGCTTTTAGTTACATACGTTTTACACTTTTAGTCATATGCGTTTACGTATATATTGGGCCTAATTCTTTATTTATTTAAAAAAGTTTTAAATTAAAACGGTTACGTTTACAATATCCGTTAAACATTTTACAATAGACGTCAACATCGACATAACACAATAACCAACATATAGTGCTTATGCAAACACTCTTATCTCGCGAAATATACATGCTATAGCACGCATATTTACACACATAGTAGACAACTTACATACATATATATTGACAGAGTTTCAGGCAATATAAGACAATAGAGAGCCTAAGACACGACGAGATTCATCAAATCGAATCTCACACAGTCGAATCTCACACACAGTCACACATTCACGACATTCGGATATCAATAGAATAAAATAAACATAATATCTCATAGAATATTAAGCACAGTATACTAATTGAATTAATGTAACAATATACAATAGTGGAATTACGATAGTAGGACATATATGACATAAGACACCATATATATTTTTACATATAT